ACAGGGACGAGCGGATGTGGGTGTCGTGCTGTGAAGGCTTCGTGAGGCATAATCTTTACGACACTACACTCGTGAGGATGTTCGTCTAAGTCCATCGATCGACACTCATCAAAGTCAATCGATCGATGTACACTGGATCGTATCGATCGATGATCACGGGGTGAAATCGATCGATAATAGTCGAATATGAAGTCTCGCTCATCATCAGATCTTTGAATCTCTTCTACTACCTCTTGCCAAAAGTCATCATCCAGGATGGCATTGATGTTATGGTTGTTGGAAAACTCCTGCTTCTTTAGTGCTTCTTCTGTCTGAAACACCTGAGTCTCTAGCTTCTTCACATGGGTGTTTAAAGCATCTAGTTTTATGGTGAGGGTGTTGTAGACGGATTCAATCTTTCCATTGAAGTCTGTCTGGAGTTTCTGCTGACTCTCAAGAACCTTGTCTAGCATCTCCTCCAGTTTACTATCTTGGGTGGGTGGGTGGGTGTGGGTTTGAGTAGAATGAGTTCCCATAGCTCTTGTTGTTGTTGGGGGTGCTGCTGCTGAAGTTGTTAGGCTTCTGTGAACTTTGGTTGAAGTTGCTTCTCTGGCCTGTGAAGTTTCTGTATCCTCCTTGGTTACCAGATCTCTGAAAACCAGCTCCACTGATCCAGTTCACATCTTCTTCTGTATAATCTTCACCTGCAGTGTCTGCATCCTCCACTGAGCAAATCTGCTTGTTAAGTAACTTCTGAATGGTATCCAGCTGTGCTTGCACTTCATTGATGTATTCCTTCCCAAGGAATGATGTAGCTTTTGTCTTCACAAAGTTCTTTGTGTTGTTGCTTGAAGCTAAGTTATCAATTAACTTCACAGCCTCTTGTGAATTCCTGGTGTTGAAGTTGCCGTCACTAGCTGTATCAAGAGCCCTTTGATAATCCAAGGTGATGCCTCTATAGAAAGTGCAGAGCAGTTGCACTTTGTTGAATCCGTGGTGTGGACAATCTTGTTGGTAGGATTTGAATATGTTCCATGCATCTTTGAATGACTCTTCAGGATTTTGAGTGAATGTAGCAATCTTTCTCCTCCATTCTTTATCGCGTGATTCATCAAAAAAGTTACGCAGGAATGTGTTTTTGATGTCGCTCCAGGTTTTGAGAGAACCTGGTGGTAGTTGTCTCAGCCACTGCAAAGCTTCTCCAGATACAGAGTATTTGAAAAGCTTGCAGAGAAGATAGTCTTGAGGGACTCCATTGGCTTTGATGATGGTTATGAGATCCTCGAACCTCTCCAGCTGGTCCATAGGATGCTCATGGGACAACCCACAGAAGGGTATTTTTCCTACAAGTGTGTAGTACTGCGGCTTAAGCTCGAAATCTCCTCTCTGAATAGCAGGAGGGCGGATGGCTGATCGGTTGGAATATAACTGATCCGGACGGTTGTAGTCAGCCAAAGTTCTAGCTTGTTTAGCCTCTTCTACAGGTTGAATGATGTCTGTAGGTGCAGTTTCTTGCTCAGGAATGATCTCCTTTTGAGCGTTCAGCTTCTGACCTGCTGCATTACGCAGGTGACCATCTTGATCATGCAGGTCTCCATTCTCATCGGTAGTGAGAATAATAGGCGTTACCATGCCTCGTCGGTTAGTATCGATCGATGTAAGATAAGGTGTATCGATCGATATCGGATGAAAGGTATCGGTCAACGAACGGTTGTTGATGTCGATCGATGTGGCGGTGAGAGTATCGGTCGACGAAGAAGGTGTCTCGGTCGACTGTGGTAAGCGAGTAGCGGTCGACAAAAAGGTGTTGATGTCGATCGATGCGGAACGTAAGTCTTTGCGGATGCTACGTTCCAAACTATGAGGGTCTTCTGAGTACACAAGTTGGTTGTTCTTGTTGCTTCTAGTACTGTTGGGCATGAACCTGAAAAAGACAAGAAAATTTTTTTGCGTCAGAAGATGATTAATCAATAAAAGAAAAATAACCTAGACCTAATCAGATTAAATCTAATGGCTATCAAAGTTCCCCGGCAACGGCGCCTAATTTGATATCACTCAAATTTTTAACCCTAAGGAGTGAATTACTCTCTCAAATAAGAGGTTCAGTTGTAGTACTTAAGGATCGAATCCACAGGGAACTGAGGAACACAAAAGATGTAATCCTAAGTGGTTATGCTAGGTTGATTCAGTTTAAAATAGTAAATTTCAGTTGTGAGCAATGGTAAGTTGCTCAAGAGAATAAATTTAGGTTTTGAAACAATAAAAGAAAGTAGTTAGATTCAAGGTTGTTGTTCAGATAATCAGGATTATAATGCTACATATGTTTTAGTGAGTTGCTTGCAAGATATATAAGAACTTCGATTCTTAGACTGATCCAATAGTTGTTAGTTTATAGACTCGTCCATTGATCTTACTGCTGGCAATATCGACCGATGGTACGATCGCCAGATTGGGCGATATAGGTTGCCGTCGATCGATTACTCTATAGGAGTATCGATCGATATAGCATAAGATCAAATCAAAACTGTGTTCACCAAGATCATAGACCGGCTCTCGCGTATCCCTAGAGGATCTAAGCTTATGCCAAATGATTTCAGGATGATGATTAACAAGTTAAATCATTTTATGATCATACTCTAGTTAGTTACTCTAGAGTAAGCATTAGGGTTCATCTGGATAATGAATATCACAACTTGACATTCCATAGTTGGGGCTAATCCCTCATAACTATTTGAATCCTAAATCTAACAAGTGAATCTACTCAGACATGGCCAAGTGATTCATAGCAGCAAGGTAATAATAGAGATTCATAAGATTAGAAGATTGAACTCTTGGTTCCTTGGAACAACAAATCTCTTTGTGTGTTTCTTCTAAATCTAGAATTCTATAACCTTTGAGAATTAAGATGAAAAGAATACTTTATTGCTAAGTATAAAATAGTATCAAAAGCAAAGAAAAACACGAAAGAACATAAAAAGCATGCTTTGCCAAAACACATAGGCATAACTATAAATATGAGTTCCATTAGGTTAAAAACTCGTCAGGGGCAATCTTGTACTATTGGAAAACTTGGGCTTCAAGTCGGCCAAGTCAGACTTGTTCTTCACGCTTCATATCGATCGATGGTACATGGTGTACATCGATCGATGGAGTATCTCAACTTCATCTTCTATGGAAGCATCATCGATCAATTACACAGGATGTGTATCGATCGATATGTATATCTGGATATCGACCTTATTGTCTGATCTTCATAGTCATCTCGGAAAACTTTCCTTTAAGTTCCATAAGGGCACCTAAATCATCACTTTACTCCAAAATGCTCCTGAACCTTAAAACATACCTAATAGACTCCAATATATATATATATATATTATAAAAACATATCAATACCATGGCTAAAAGTGGGTCAAAACCATGGTATATCAGAGTGTTAATAGGTTCTCGCTATCAAGCAAGTCCCAGATAATCACATATGTAAGCTGTAACGCGAGTAATTAAATATGTGGAAAGAACTCTTGATTTTGGTTTGTACTATACTTTTGAGACTACACAAATCTAAGAGGTTTTTTTGGGATGCACTAGATAGGGAGTGTTGTTGATTGTCAAAGTACTTCAGGTGTTTGTTTCTCCTTGGAAACAACATGATTTCGTGGCACATCAAGAAGCAAAATTATGCATCCCTATAATTTGCGGAGTTAGAGTATATAGCTCTTGGACGATGTAGCACACAACTGGTGTGGATGAAAAAATAACTACACTAATGATTTTTGAACCACTTCTAGTTCACGGTGACAATATGAATGCCATTAATCTGAATAAGAACCAGTTCAACACTCTCGAACTAAAGATCACATAAAACACCATTATGTTACATATTTGGTCGGGGATAACCTTGTAATTATTGAGAATGTAGCATCTGAGAGAAAACTAGCATATATCTTCACCAAACCTTTAGATTTCAACAGCTTTTGGGATTTCGAAAAGCGTTAAGAATCTGTGATCTCTGATCGTTTATTCTTGATAAGTTGACACTGTACAGTTTGGAAATACAGTACGCTAAAACTCATGCATCCGTGTGAAACCTCTTATCAGTAAAGCATCTGGTTTAAATCTATATGAATGTACTTATTAAGATTTTAGAGCACTGGTTTAGTTGAGAAAGACACTCCCTTTGGGACAAGATGCAGCACATTTTTGTGCTTAAAGATAAGCACTGTCTAGATGGAACAGTGAAACACAGAGGAACATGAGTGTAACACAATATACCATGTAGTGGTTGTTGAATAGAATCTTAAAAGTGGATTATTTTTGAATATGAAATGCATGAAAGGCTTACATGATGTACACCCGTTTTGGTTCGAGCTGCTAAAACACTTTGATCTGAGTTTGATCAGTCTTAATTGAGCAGAGAATTAGGGTATCTTCAATTCTCTTGAATGAAAAAAAAAAGGAAAATCAAAATAGAACAGTGACAACCCATTCCATGGAAGGAACGTCAAACGCATCAATAACCTACAATGGGGAGTCAGTGAGGGCTTACATGGAAGAGGTTAGGGTCGGTGCGGTGCAGTCCAATGAGTTTCCACGGGACGGATTGTCACAAAAATTTTTGTCTATGGTTACTGTTTTTGAAGAGGTAGCTACACAAGAACTAGTGCTGTGTTTCTTGTAGAAGTTGATCTTAAGATTTGAACTCGGCTGAGAATAGCTATGATGTTGGATCTCAATCAACTTTTTTGACAACATTGACTTCTTCTCGATACTGAACAAGCACTATCTTTTAGAAGAGAAAGTCAAACGACTTCTTTCCTTTCACAAGCTGCGAGTGTTTCAGTACTTCATGATCAAGTCCCAACGTTCCAGCAGCGGTAACTCCAGTTTGGGTTAGCTCGCATTCAATTACGTTTCGGACAGGAACGATGTTGATTCTTCTCTCAAATTAGCTATGGAGATTCAAAAATAGAGTGAGGAGAAAACAAATACTTGCATAAGTGAGTATTCTATGTAACAAATACTTTCTTTTACGTAAATAAACATTGGCTTACATTGTAACAAACATCGGCTTATATATATATAAAAAAAGTATCATCTAACAATGTTCTCAACAAAATTAGATGTATGCTTCTTATTACAATTTTTATTAAGAGTCCCACATAAGAGAATTAAGGAAGTTTTAGTTTAGAGCATCCATCTCTTCTTTGAACTTAACCATTGCAGCTCTTGGCAAGGTAATCATGACTTGAACCCCTCCAACCATCGAAGGTTCTAACCTTGATGCTGGCATGAACACACAAACCATTCTAGCAGTATTTGGTGGGACCACCGGGACAATATTCACCGGCTCACCCCACCCAAAATCCATCGATCCAAAAATACCAATGTTCCTCCAATCCGTCAAACCAAAGAACCCCACTTTGACAAATAAATTCATACTGATGATACTTTCAGTGTTGGCAAGCTCTTCTTGGAGATAATCTTTGTCGTGAGCCTTTTTCTTTGCTTGTTTTATGAGCTTCACGATGTCGGAGATTGTATGTTCTTCCACTTCTTTAACGGTTAATGACACGTACATGGGTAGGTATGCATTACCATAGTATCCATCGGGTAAAGGTGGATTCACTATGCTTCGGATTCCTACGGCTACACCCAAAACTGTGACTCCATCTTGATCCAAACTTAGAGCTTTAACTCTTGACTTCCATAAATAAGCTCCTATAACTTCAAAAGTAGTGAGTGCCTCATTAGAGAAGTCGCCATCTTTTAGTGTAGCTTCTTTCAATCTTCTTATGCCCTCAGCTCTAATATTTATTTTCTCGGTTACCTATTTAAATACATCAAAAATGGTTTACCTTTTAGAAATACTATTTTTAAATTATAAAATAGAAATAATAAGCTGGCCTATCTATTTCTTTTAGTTGTTATAAAAAAATGATCATAATCATATAGTTTTCCGAGAAAATATATTCTAGATTTCTTACCAAAAACATTTTAAATTATATCACATGTAGCGCTTTATATATATATATATATATATATATATATCATAGCTAGGGACTGAGAGCATTTCTATTGGATTTTCAATTTTAAGTATCTATCAAAAAGTAAAAATACTTATTTCAAATGTTTAAACATATTTCAACGCTGTAAAATTATTTGATTCAATATTTCTATTAGTTAAAATTTTGAGAAGCTGTCCGTCAATATGTTCTAACACTCATACATTATTAAACATTTAATAGCATGACACATGTAAATCATTGTTTTTCGGAATCATCCGTCTAAATTATGTTGAAAATCAATCGTTTCCAACAATTTAATTCTCTTAGCATCGTTTTTCAGATATATATATATATATATATATATATATATATATATATATATATACTTTTTTCTGGTAACCTTCTGACAGTCGACTAATCTGTTTAGATGTCTGTAGTTGTCGAGGCCTATTCATTAACTTTTCTAATAAATCTAAAATTTTACACCATTTTGATTTGCCATATGAAAATGGTTAGAGTATTTCAGTTGAAGATATCTCATTGAATATTTCAACAAAAACAAAATAAGAGAAATGAAAAGAGTTTCATTTACAAACTTGAGGTATCTATAAAATAATTTTATTTTAATGAATGGGAATTTTTTTTGAAAGAAAACTATATTATTAATTTATATTATATATTTGAAAAAATGAAAATAAGAAACACATGGATAATGTTCCTATATAATTATTCCACATGCAAGGAAAGGAGAATCAACTCCTAGTTTATAAAAAGCAATCTCAATGGTGAGTTCTGGCACCTAGGTTCTAGCTTGTAGTATAGACATATTCGATTATGTTTTTTGTAAAGTTAAGAATTTCACTACTAAACATTAATATATATATATATATATAAGTTTATTTTTTTTTAAATCTAGTGCTAAAATTATTTGTTGGAAGTGTTCTAAGAGCATCAACCATAATAATATGAGAAAGAGATTCTAATCATTAATTACACAAAAGAGAAGAAATGAACATAAAAATAAGAGAGATAGAGAGGGATGACTTTTTCCGAAGAAACGTTTGGGACAGTATTTGTTATGTGTTATCATATAATTAAGTTTGTTTTTTCTTATATAAATTTTAATGAAAATACTAAATTTTATTATTATTTTATGTCTAAATTATTAGTTGAGAAACTAAACTAGTGTATATGTTTTAAAATTACTTAAAAGATGGTTAATGATAGTTTCTTAAAAGAAGTGCTTTAACAAAATACTAGATTTCGACCCGCACAACCGTGCGGGTATTTTAATACGAAATATTTGAAATTATATAATAAAATTTATCAATAAATAAGTATAATTTGATTCTTTAAGCTATCCAATTTTATAATCACTATATGTGACTTATAATATTATTAATATAAAATTTATAAATTTGTATTTTGGTAATAATTTTTAAAAAAATTATTATGTAAGATTACTAATTTATATATTTTGTTTTATTTCTAAATTTGAAATCTATGTAAAAATTAATTAAGTTGCACCTACATAATACATAAACAAAATTTTGGGATATTGTTAAAAGTATTTTACATAATTTTAATTTTTTTATAAATTAAAAATGAAATAAATTTTAATTAAATTTTATGATAATTATATTTTATGATAACTAAAATTTTAATCAAATAATTTTTGAAACTATATCTTGAAAAATATTCTAAAAGATTTTTAAAAGATTTTGTTAGAATTTTGTTAAAACTATTTATTGGTATTTCAAACAAAAATTAAAGATATGAAAAGATATTAAAATGTTAGATAAAATTTTATAAAATTCTAAAGATGGTCCAAACTAAAATATCACACATGAAGTGAGTCATGACTTCTCTTTTAATATAATAGATTAATAGAATATGATAAAGTAAGAAATGCTGATGTACATCTCCTCTTAATGAAATATTGAGCAATTGGAAAGAGATTATTTCTACATGTGTCTTTTTTTTGTTGGTGAAATTATTTTTTGAGTATGTACATTTAATCATATAAATAATTTTTAGTAATATATAATATAAATGCTTAAAGACTGTGTCCAGAGAGATGTAACAGTACTGATGCTGTTACAATGAGCCTGCTAAAAAACATTTTCAACTGTTTAATACTTCCAATGAAACTGTTTAAAAAACTAAAATCCATTATAGATTTTTCATAGTTGAATTCTTTCAACTAGTTGAAAGATAAGAGATAAGACCCACAACACATGTGTGTAGATTAGTTATTGGCTATTGAAATAGTTAAGTTTTTTTCTTCACTTTAACCATTTCATTTCAATTATTTTATAGTAAATTAATTTATTTCTTTAATTATTTGATATCAAAATTAGTAATTTCTTGTGTTCTATAAATAGAAATTTGTTTCATTTGATTTGGATATATATATATATATATATATATTTAATATAATTATTTAATTTTGTCAAAAAACTTTTAAATATTTAAATATTATTTCATAAAATAAAATTAGAAAATATTAACTTAATTCTTACTTTATTTTTAAATATTTTTTTAGATTTTTAGTTATTAAATCTAATCACAACTAAACACATAAAAATATAAAATAAAATAGGTGGATAGAGTGTTAATTTTTTAAGAAAATTGTTGTATGATATAAAACTTGAATAGATGTTAATTGATTAGGTGGAAAGGAAAATGATGTTTATAAAAAATAATATGATATGGAGTATTAAAGTTGAAAAGTAAAGTGTTGAAAGAAAGAACCCACCGTTGATGAGACTATACTTGTAGGACAGTTATTCAAGTGGGAATCACTAAACCAGCCCTTAGCTATACTTGTAGGACAGTTATTCAACTTCTCTTCATGTGTGATATTTTTAAAAATAGACCATTCTTAGAAAGTAATATTTCATATATATCTTAATAACATTTTATTTGACTTAGTTACGATATCTTTTGATATCTTTCTTTTATTTGAAATAAAATAAATATTTTAAAAAGAATTCTAACAAAATCTTTTATAAACATTAAACATATGAATAATAAAATATACAGTGATGTAAATAAATATATATATATATACATATTTATAAACGAAATTAACACCCGCTCGGTTGATCGAGTCAAAATCTAGTTACACTTAAATTACTCCAAATACTCCAAATATGTGACAACTTAAAATACTCAGTTAATATCACAGAATGTTTTTTTTTTAATGTTTGTTTTCTTGTTTTATCATAAGGGTTTCATAAACTCGTATTAAAAGGTCCGAAATTATTTGCAAGAAAGATTCTTAGTTACGTTTTATCGTAACATTAGTTTAAGACCGCGTCTTCCGTGAACTAATATTATATATTAACATTATTTTTACGTAGCATTACTTATTTTACGTGCTTACATATTATAAAAATAAATTATAAATATACATTAAATAATTGAAAAACAACTAATTAACACATATATAATTAAATAATCGAAAAATAATTAACAAAGTAATCACTTTTGTTTATTTACAATCATTTTATGATAAATAAATCTAAAAAATCACTTTATTTATTTTATATGATGATAATTAAATTTAAATATTAACATATATTTATATTTTAATATTTATATCTATTAAATTAGATTTCTTAATCATATGGTTTTATGATTATCTATACCTTCTTATAACAAAAATTGTAAAATCGTGATAACAAAATTTTCAAAGTTGAAATTTTAATAGTTTTAATAATTTCTACTCGTCCTTGAAAATTCACAGCAAAATTTTTGAAATAAAATTTTGTTTAAGGTAAATTTTTATGTATTTTTATATGGTATATGCTTTAATATATATTACATGGACTTTTTACTCATATGATTTTATGATCATTTTTATAAATTTTATAAGGAAAATTTTAAACCATTGATCACAGTTTTTTTTAATGTGGGGCTTCTGTATTTTTAGCATTTTAAAATTAAATTTATAATATATAAGGAAAATATTAAATTTTATTATATTGTTAATATGTTTTTTATTTTAAATTAATAGTATAAATTAAACATAAATTATGGAGGAAACACAAATTGTTATCGAAAATTTATAGTAAAGAATATTAATTATCATATATATACTTTAATAATATTCGGAATATCGTAATTTTTATGTAAGGCAATAAAGAAACATATCAATTATACACTATTAACTAACTTAATGTTGTCAAAAAAAGAAACTAATTTTATGAATATTTTAATGAGATCTATAATAAATATTTTATGAACTAACATATTTCTCTAAAGATTTTGAGAAGCATTCTTTTAATGATATGTATCATAGTTAAAATGTTGCAATGCTTCTATTTTAATATATAAGGAATTCCTCTTATGAAAAGAGTATTTATAATACTTTTAGTTTCTTGGAGTTTCTATTGTTGTTAGTTTACTCGTCTATTTGTACTTTTTCTCCTCTGTTTTACCAAGTTTAATGAAAATTTCAAAACTATGTGATCTTTTTTTGGGTGTAAATGTTAAGATCTATGTGATCTTGTTTAGTACACATACCCAATCATCAGTTGGTAAGTAGGGTGAAGCAGCCGTGTCGCCTCCGGGAACAAAGGGAGCTTGATCGTTTTCTTTAGGCCTTCCCACGAGCCTCTCTCTTTCCCAAACCGGTGTCACCGTTGGCTTCTTCTTCCCGCCAGCCAACTCCGTCAAGGCACACATGATATTTCCCTCCCCATATCCATCACACATTGAGTGCGACAAAGCAATCCCTAAGATGAATCCTCCACATTCAAAGTTGGTCACCTGTCATCATTATTAGTATTTTTCACTAAAGGGGTTTTCGGAGAAAAATACAATATACCTTTTTACTTTGTAGTTTATTCCAGACAAAAAAAACAAGTTTAGGGGGTTTGGGAGGACCAGCCCAATCTTGTTTATATTACTCACATTTATGTATTTATTAATATGGTAACACTACGGAATTTCCAGTGGACGAAATATAATATATATATATATATTTATTTTTAACAAATTTGTTGAGAATCAGTTGAAAATCCGTGAAAAAAATTCTTAAAGAGTTAAATAAATATTTAGTTTTTAATAAATTAGTTGAGATTTCGTTGAAGATTTTCCAGAATTCTCTAACAATTAGGGTTTAAAATAAATATCATTCGTTTCGTTAATGATCAATGAAAACTATAATAACACTTCAAATTTCATATGGTACAACATATGCTCAAAAATAGTATATTACAAAATTTACATACAATAAATCAAAAGAATAATGTAAACGTTAACATATCATACTTATTCAAACGATTTTGGGAATTCGTCCACAATATTTTCACATATGTTTAACAAGTGATTCTGAAGGTGTACACGATCATAAACCTCGTTAAATCATGTGTATAATATATATGGATACCGTTGATAGGTTTTCTTTTGGTTTGGTAACCCTAAACCATTATGTCATTGTGAATTTATTGTAGATTTCTGTCGGATTATCAAAAGTTTGGGGATTGTGGTCTTGTTGACCAAATAAAATTTTTGATGGATTCCAAACAGAATATGCCTTCCGTTAGAAATTTGTCAAAAATAGAATATTTAACCAGAAAAAAGCTCTATTATTTTTGGAAAAGGGTCAATGTTTATAAAAACCGCCTAAATGAAATATTCTTCAGGAAATATTCGATGGATGTTGGTCTATCAAGAATTTATAATACGTTATTCGGTTGATTCTCTTCTCTTTCTTCACTCGATAATTTCTTTCAAAATCCATCAAAATCGCCAATCTCTCTTCAAGAACACAACCATAATCACCTATTTCTTTTACCTGTCCTTCTATCATGTAAGGTTTATTTTGTTTGGATTAGTTTGTTAAATCAATTGTATGTTAGGTTGTTGGTTTTAGGGATTTGAATTTTAGTTATAGGGATTTAGATGTTAGTTTTAGGGATTTGGATGTTAGTTTTAGAATTGAATGTTAGTTTTACGAGTAGGATGTTAGTTGCAAAATTTAAGAAGTCAGTTTTAGGACTTTTTTTTGGGGATGTAATATTAAAATTTATATATATATATATATATATATATATATATATATATATATATATATATATATATATATATATATTCCTTTTTAATGTTTAAAATAATTATGTTTTTAAACATATTTACCAAAACCTTTTTATATCTTTACAAAAAATTTATTACATCAAATTTAAACAAAAAAAATTGTAATTTAAAATTTTTTTTTAATATTTTACACATCTTTTATTATTTTAAATATATTTAAAATATACTTTTAAATGTTTAATTTGTTAATTTAAACATGTATTATATTTAAAAAAAAAATATTTTTTTTATTTTTTTAACGTTTAAACATTTTCTCTAATTTTAAAAATTGTTAGCTATAAGATTTTTAATTTTATATATTATTTTTTTAGTTTAGGTTCTTAGATTAGGAATGAAATAATATTTTTTTTTGTATATTTGAAACATTGTTTTTATTAGAACGTTTTATAAATTAATATATCTGTTATATGTTTAAGTGTTATTATTTTTATATAACTAAAAAATTAAACTTCTAAACTTTTAAGTTTTTAGTTTTTTTTTAATTTCTTAAAAGTTCCCGACGAATTTCTTACAGAAAGTTTCTTACCGAATTCCTAACCAATATTTCTCAAAACTTATATGTCTGAAACTCGTGTGAAAAAATTGGAACATACTTTTCAAATATTCATTGAAAAAAATTCCTTGGGAATTCTTTGAGAATTTCCGAGAATATATTTTCGGAAGAGATATAATCAAATAAATGTATTTATCGAAAACATCCGTTGGAATTTGGTATTTTTGTAGTGTGTACTTTATAGGATTTAAATTACAATTCTGCTAAGGTATTTCAAAAACTTAACCTAATAACAATACTTTAATTTCTTTATTAAACTTGATCAAATTTTACGCAAGATATCAGTTTCAGATGACAAAAAAAAAAAAATCAGTTTCAGTTCTAGCTATTTTTCATGCATTTAATGTTCGTCCTTATATGAAAAATAAACGGTCTATGTACCTGCAAGGCAAAAGGTTGATAACCATCCTTATCCACTTGAAGCTCTGGCAAGAACTTTAAGGCCGTATCTGAGTCAATGTTCTCAAGATACTTCAAAAAAGATAGTTTTACGTTAGCAGTAGCCACCGTGAAGGAACAACCGACTCCATCGCTGCCACAGCTCAACTGAAGCCTCCCATCAGTCTCCCGCCGCTTCAAAGTCCCTGAAAGAGGGTAGTAGTAGCCAAGAAAAACAGATAAGGCCTTCCTAACCAAAGATTCCGGCTTGTTATCATCATAACCGGGGTTCTTGGCTTTGAAAACGTGACATGACTTGTAAATTTCATCGTTGAAAGGATCATTGTCAAGTGTTGAAAGGGAAAGAGTATGCGAAGGTATGTGTTTTGAGGGTTTCACCATTTCGGTGAGTGTTTTCTCGACCATTAGAGGGATCGATGAACTTCTTTGAATCGACATGTTTTTTTTTTAATATCTAGTTGTTTAAGGAATAAAACTCTAAAAACCCTTTCGTATTTATAGAGAATGGCATCAGAAATTATTTGATTATTCAAGATTAATTTAGTCAATACAAACTGATTATTAAGATGTTAATTCACATTGGTCTTCTTAATATAAAGTAGTTGGCAACCTTAATGTCGGAATTAATAATGACTCTTGGTCGCGTTATTTTATTGTTAAAGAGTCTTGGGCACCTTAATGGTTGGTTACAATTTTTAACACCCTTCTTTTACAATTTTAATATCCCACATCATCTTTTTTATTCCAACTAATACTTCAACAACTCTTTAAATTTTCCACTTGTTTAATTCAACTCAACACCCTGCTCCACCATTTTATCTTATATTTTATTATTTACATTTATAATTTGTGAACATTATTAATTATTAAGATTTAGGCAGATAAAATATAAATTAAAAGAAATTTAGGTGTCAAAAAATTATTACTAGTATACATTTACAAAAAAGTAAAACACACAAAAGAGTTGATTGAAAGCTAATACAAAAAATAAAACGAAAGTGGCCATTTGTTTTGATATTCAAATGAAATGAGATTACTTTCTATTTATAGATAAAAATACTGAATTTTGGTAAAAATGTATCCTTCTTATAAAATAATTTACTATAAATAAAGGAATTTGAATAATCTGGATAAAATAATCACATTTTAAGAAATGAATATAAATACATCATGTGGATCATATTTAATAGGGCTGGAGAAACATCAGAATCCGGAAACCGAACCGATTTGGATCCAAAAAGTAATATTGAATCTGTCTGAAATTGATTAAATATCTGAACGGGTTCAAAAATATTAGATTACTATCCAAAGATATCTAATATATATGATATTTTAGTATTGTTAAAAATATTTGAAATTATATATAAATGGCCGCAGTAAATATTTAAAATATCTAAAAATACTCAAAACACCATAAATACCAAATTATCGATTGATTCTCATCTAATTATTGAACCCATCCCATATTTTATGTTAAGTTTATGTAATTTGGCATACAATGTTCAAGTTGATGTGTTATATATTATGTTTACATTATATTTTGAGAATTTTTAAAAATAGATGAATTAAAATTTAAACGAGTTATCTAAATCTGAACCAAACCCGCAAAAATTCTAACCAAAATAGATCAACTTTTATAAATACTCGAATAGGATTGAAACCTTTAACTCTGATAACGTGAAACCCATATAGGCTCAAACTTGCACCCCGAACCCCCACCTCTGTCTAACATCATCTTTTTTCACAATTTGACATATGACAAAGTTGGCCTATTATATTTCATCAATGCTTCAACCAATTGAAAATATTCAGCACAATTTAATATGTGTATCATTTAAATTGTTAAAAAAAAAATTCAAGCTTCATTGCTCATGTTGTTACAATAAAGTGGTGGCAAACACATTAACTTCAAACATCTTAATAACTGTCATTTATTATTTTATTTATGTTTGATTAAGTTGGGATATCTCAGATCTAATACAGAGTTCAAACTAATCTCCAAAGAAGGGTGAAGTCTACAGATTTTTTTTTATCAACGAAAAACATAGACTCATGAATCTATATCCGCGGACCCTTTTTCGGGTATTCCAATGGACCCAAAGCAAAAAATTCTATATCTGCATGGCTATATTATAGGTAGTAATTTTGCACTGGAGGAGACTAACCTTGACCAACATAGCGACTTCTCATCCAGTAGATACTACTAAACTACCACAATGTTGCGTTTGTACGTATTGATAATATTTTTTTTTGTAATAAAATACATTTAAAGAATAGTTGAATTTATTTTTGATGGAGCAGGCAAACGCTTGAAATATATGTTTTTGTTCTGATCTCCATACGTTATAGTTTCTGTAGATTAATCTTTCTCACATTTGTATTTGTTGCAGATTTTTGTTTAATAACAAATATGGTGCAAATAGATCTCTATAGTGATTGGTTCATGTGTGTTGTAGATAAGGATTTGAATGAATGTCAGGACAAGTATATGAGACATGCAGAACCATCTGCAATTAATACCCAGGCTTTGAATGAATGTCAAAACAAGTACAGAAGACATGCAAGAAAGAAGGACATGCAAAACCATCTGCAATTAATACCCAATCAAGACAAAAAATTTAGAACAATAAATAATAATAATAAAAAAGTACGGAATGCAGAAGAAAATACATGTTAAAAAGAGTTATGCAAAAACCAGAGAAAAATGGTTGATTCGTATATAGTGGACCAATGCATGTCACTTTTATATTTTTTTTCTTTTTCTCTTATTTCTTCTTTAGCCTATAAATATAACATACATTCATTCTCTTCTTTCACATATCATACAATCTTCTCTAGTAGTAAGTTTTTTTTCATTTTGTATGAAATTTATGCTGAATTTTTATATTATGTTTAACTGATATTCTTTTTATATTTTTTGGGTTGTCTCTTACATTTACATCCACTAAATCAATAAAAAATCAAGGTAAATTTTCAATGAATCATGAAAATTTTAATTAACACATGTATGCATTTTAATCTTGTGTTTAATTAGTTTTTGTTTTATTTTTAGTAGTTAGCTTATGATTATACTTATAGTTAACTAATATTGAAAAAAACGAAATAATAAGTGTTTTGTTTTCATTTTCAAAATTATATAACATAAGCATGCATTTTAATCTTGTGTTTAATTGATTTTTGTTTTATTTTTCGTAGTTAGCTTATGTATAGTTAATTAATATTGAAAAACGAAATAATAAATAATTTTTTAATTAAAAAAATTATATAGCATATGCATGCATTTTAATCTTGTGTTTAATTAGTTTTTGTTTTATTTTTAGTTGTGAGCTTATGATTATTTTCGTAGTTAATTAATATTGAAAAAAGAAATAATAAATATTTTTTTCCATTTTAAATATTAATTAACAAATGCATGCACTTTATTTTTAGTAGTTAGCTTATGAATAGTAAATTAATATTGAAAACGAAATAATAAATATTTTTTTATATTTTAAAAACTATATAACATATGCATGCATTCTACTCTTGTGTTTAATTAATTTTTATTTTATTTTTAGTTGTTAGTTTATGATCATTTTTGTAGTTAATTAACATTGAAAAGGAAATGAGAAATATTTTTGTTCATTTAAAATATTAGTTAACATGTGCATGCATTTTAATCTTGTGTTTAATTAGTTTTTGTTTTATTTTTAGTAATTAGCTTATGATTATATATATAGTTAATTAATATATTAAAACGAAATAATAAATATATATTTTTCATTTTAAGTATTATATAACACATGCATGCATTTTAATCTTGTGTTCAAATAATTTTTTTTATTAGTAGTTAGCTTTTGACCTACTTTATTTAGTGGTACTAAGATTATTTTGGCCTAATAACTTAAAATTTATTTTATTACATAAATATTTTTTTTGTTTCTTCTGCTACCACTGATTATAATTTCATATTTTAATCCATTTTTGTTGTTTTCTACACATATGCAGTAGATAACCAAACAAATAACGTTTATATATATCTTAACCGGTTACTTAAATGGAGAAAACAATCAAACCGACTATATGCTTTTACAACAATGAAGTTACACTAAACATAATATCTTCAAATATATCTTCAAATTTAAATCTATTTTTGGGAAAAATACGATGAATTTGCTAGAACTATAGTTTATTTCTTTGTTAGTTATGAACTCGAGATATCATATGCTTTCCTTATATATATATATATATATATATATATATATATATATATATATATATATATA